CACAGAGTGGAGATGTTTCAGCTGGACTTAGTCTGGTTATTAAACATCTCATCTGCAGCGATCAGGGTTATCCACTGGGTGGACGTTGGTATTAATTCGTCCTCCTCCAGTTGCATCAGTTCTCTTTTATGGACTGTGATGCGTTTTTTGGCGCTGAGCTTAACGTCAAACCACTTCTTAAAATTTTGCCGGCGATCTGTCCTCTGACCAACAGGAATAACTGCGGTGGTTTTCTTGTCTGCAGTATTTCTTCTTTCGCTGCTCATCCCAACATTAATGCACCAAACAATATTGTCTGGTTTGCTTCAACCTCGGATTTTTTTGTACTTACGCACACTCTGCATTTCATTCATGACAGAATTTAGAAGCTTTTCTACGCACTGATGATAAATGAGGTCAATAAATCTGCTCCAAAGCTCTGCTGGTTACAATCTGAAGAAATGTTCTGGATGTAAAGTGTTCTGTCAGATGGGATCAGAACCAGATAGAAAAGTTCTGATTGGACCGAATGACCCACAACTGATGGAAGAGTTTGAATGTTGTATCTGTTAGCAGCTGTGATGATGTTCTGAACTGTTGTGCTGGATGAAGCTGCAGCTGATCGGATGTGTTTATATAATTTGTATATTTTGTGTATTTTCTATATTTTGTATAATGCCGATAGTTCTGCGCGTTTCTCTTTGAGATCTCTGTCTGATTCTAAATATATATTTTTTTGTTTTATTCTAGCTTTGTACTTATCTCACAGAAATAAATGACAGACTGAAAGAATAAACTTTGCTGCTTTGCTCTTCAGGTCTGATGCTGAACTGTGTGTGATTGTCTCAGTGCTTCTATCTGCTCACTGCTCTGGGCTTCATCATCGTTTCTGTGTCTCTAAATGGACTCACTGGGACTCCCACAAACACTCCAACCTTCCAGCTGTAGACTGGAGCTGTCAGCAGCTCTGCTCATGTTCTGCTTCCTCTGCTTTGTTCTGACACTAACTTCTGATGCTCTGATGACTGTAAATGTTATCTGCAGGTTCAACACATGTTGGATGTTGAGCGCTGAGCCCTCTGATGGAGTCCTGGCTGCTTTCACTGCTGCACCAGTGATGATGAAGGTTGTTTCCCCAGATTCTGATGCTGCTGTTTCATGTCTGACTACAACCTGCTGAGCTGCTTCCAGAGGAACCAACCACAGGACCAGGTGTGTCTCTACAGGACCAGTCCACAGGACATCTATGGAGCCCGTCTGTAGTCAGACGTGATAGAAAAGCTAGAAGCAGACTTTGGACCAGCTGATTGTTCTGCTGGGACCGGAGGTTCTGTGATAACGCTGACAGTAAACGGTAAGAAACAGACACTGACCCAGTTGGACCCAAACCGTCTGAACCTTCCTGTACCTACAACCAACAGAACAACACACACTGGACCGACTTCACTGTCGCTACACAACACCAGTAGATCATGGCTCTGCTGCTCTTCTCTCTGGGTGGTTTCAACACNCTCCTTCAGGCACAGCTTCACCTCCCTCTGTGCTGCTCTGATTGCCTCCCTGTTTTTATTCCTGAAGGCCACCTTCTTCCCGTTGAGTGCAGCTTTGACCTCCTGCGTCACCCAGGGTTTGTTGTTTGGGTAACAACAAACAGTCTTAGCAGGAGAGACTACATCCACACAGAAGTTCAGGTCCTCAGTCAGGCAGTGGGTCAGCCCCTCAATGTCCTCACCATGGGGGGAAAACAGGACATCCCAAGAGGTGGTTTCCATACAGTCCCTCAGGGCCTCCTCCACCTCAGGAGACCATTTCCTGATGGTGTGTGTTGTGGCCGGCTGTCTTTTGACCAGAGGGGTGTACTGAGGCTGTAGGAGGACTAGGTTGTGGTCTGACTTCCCAGGTGGGGGGAGGGGGGTGGCTCTGTATGCGTCCCGTACATTAGCATCCAGGAGGTCGATTGTCCAGTTGTTTCTGGTGGGGCAGTTCACAAACTGGTGGAAAGCAGGCAAGGCAGAGTTCAGTGTGGCGTGATTAAAGTCCCCAAAGATGACGATGAGTGCCTCTGGATGTTGGGTCTGCAGCCTTGCTGTGAATGTGTGAATCTTCTCACAGGCAGCGGCTGCATCGTCACTCGGGGGGATGTAAACACACATCGCGATCACGTGACTGAACTCTTGTGGCAAGTAATATGGCTGCAGGCTAACAGCTAACAGTTCTAAATCCCGACAACACAGAACCACCTTGACAGAAACGTGACTTGGGTTACACCAGCGGTTGTTAACGTAAATGATGAGACCCCCACCTCTGCTTTTTCCGCATGCCTTTGTGTCTCTGTCCGCTCTCACTGTAGCGAAGCCCAGCAGGTCCACGTTAGCGTCCAGTGTTAGCTGGGTTAGCCATGATTTCAAGAGGATGAACAAACTGCACTCCCGGTAGATACGCTGGTTGATCAGCACCGACAGCTCGTCCATTTTGTTCTGCAAGGCGTTTCCGTTTCCCATAATTACCGTCGGGATTGATGGTTTGAAACGCCTCCGGTCTGTTAGCCTAGCCTTCAGCCTAGCGCCAGCCATGCTGCGCCGGTAACGCCTCCTCAGCTCAGTTGGGACATGATGTCGTATTCCAGCCTGTGCCATCAGCTTTAGAGCCAGGAGCTCCTCTCGAGAAAAAGTAAGGTTCCTGGCTCCTGCGGGTGATTTAAAATTATAAGTATTCATAGAATATGTAAAGACAAATAGAAAGTAGAAAAATATCTAAAAATATCTAAGAAAAACAAAGAAAAACAAGTTTGTGTCTCTGATGAAGCTGCTTCGTCTCAGATCAGATGTTTGTGGTTTATAAAGATGTTGCTGATGAGACTTTGTAGAAAACAGCTGATCTGACTGATGTTCAGACATCTGACACTCTGATACCTCTGTCTGATCTGCAGGAGACAAGAATAGAGGGAACATGGATGGAATCAGTGGAGGACATCTTGGATTGGTGGTTGTAATTGTTTTTGCTGTCATTTCTTCCGGTGGTTTTCTGATCTAAAAGAGACGCCTGATGAACCAGCAGCTGTACAGATGTTACCAGTTCCTGAGTCAGCAGCAGAACAAAGCAGAGCTTCTGGAACTTCATCCTCCACCATGGAGATGATGTAACCAGCAGCAGCAGAACAAACTGTGAATGAGGACTGAACAGAGTGAGACTGAATTCAGGGGCCTCATTTATCATCAGTGCGTATGAACATTCCTACCCAAAGTATGGAATTTATCAACTTGTACTTATACTTAGGAATGTGCGTAAACATACGCACACCTCTGACCATGCGTACGCACATAATCTAGCGGTAGAACAGTGAAACTACAAATAAAAGTATTCGGGGGTTTTGACCACCGGCACATTCCAGCGTGAGGTTGGAGACATATGTGGCNCATTCAGCCCAATCAGATAAGTGGGAGCTGCTGGCATCCTGCTCACCTTTAACCTTTAACTTCTCTCTTGGTTCTTCTTCAGGTCAGAAAATCATCAGAGCAGAACCCGGACAGAATGTTACTCTGCCATGTGAAGCTCCCAACAACAAAGACAACACCATCATAACTGTAGAGTGGATCAGACCTGGACTAGACCCAGAACATGTTCTTTTCTATCGACGTGGACACTTAGATCCAGACAACCTGGATCCATCTTATAAGAACCGGACGGATCTACAGGACAGACAGATGAAGGACGGAGACGTTTCTCTGGTTTTGACGGATGTGAAGATGGAGGACACTGGAACATACGAGTGTCAAGTTCTCCAGGAAGGAACGAACAGTTTGATGAAGGATCTCATCTGCATCACCTTCCTGGAAGTTCGTCAACCAGGTGAGTTTGTGTTCAGAGTTCAGTTTAGATTAGATAAGATTAGATTGAACTTTATTGATCCCTTTGGTAGGGTACCTCAGGGGAATTGTTGTACTAGCAACAGCACAACACCAACACAACATTAGTAATAATAATAATAACAATAATAACAACAACAACAATGGATACAGTAACAAATTGCCAAAGTGCCTAAATATTGCACACAGTCCGGTGATAGAGCGTGATGCTCCATCTCACCCCAATGTCCTCACTCCTCACCCCTCGCTCCCCACCTCTCCCCGCTTGCTGCTTGTTATGTCCCTGGTCTGGGGGTGCAGAGACATAACATAAAAGAACATGTGGAGGAGAACCAGGTGTAAAGATAGGCAATTTATTGCCACCAAAATTTAGATTTTTTTACAATTTTAAACAAAAAAGCATTTACAAAATAAAAAAAAAAACCCAGAACAATAGAAGCCTGGCTTCAGGGTGGACTAAGGCCGAAACAACAAAACAAACTATCTAATGAACCCAACAACTGAGCTAAACCCTGGAAGAACAGAAATAAACCAAAGTACATTTGCTAACCTCCCTCCCTAGAGTAAGCAGAAAACAGGAGGAAACGAATTCAAACAAAACTGGCAGTCCACCCCTACTGCTACTGACTGACTAACAAATATTTACAATCTTAATCTTAAATACAAGACAACTAAATTCTCTGAAATCCGAATTCCAATATAACTAACCACAAAACTAACTACGAAAGTTGGTCATTCTTTGCACCAACACACACCATTAACGAAAGTCTAAATACTGAGCACTAAATCTGGACACCGGACCGAAGATGTTTCAGGGACACGAGGCACTGCTGGCGCAAAAAGGTGACTCCCCACCACACGCCGGCCAGAAGAGGGTGCTTAAGTACCGCCTCTTCTGGTGGTCCAACCAATCCTGAGCCTCTGGGTGTTCCAATGACGACGACCCTGGACTGCTCATGAATGGAAAAAAAAAAAAAAAAAAGATGTGAAAACAAGAGGAGGTCTCACTCTCTCACAAAGACAACAACCCGAACTCTTACGACAGGGGCCGTAACACTGCTCCTCCCCCTCCACCCGAGCTCAGAGCTGAACAGTTTGATGGCTCGGGGAACAAAGGAGTTTTTGTTCCTGTTGGTTTTGCACCTGGGGAGGAGCAGCCTGTCGCTGAACTGGCTCCTCTGGGACATGATGACAGTGTGCAGAGGGTGGCCGGCATCGTCCATGATGGCCAGCAGGTTGTTCAGTGTCCTCCTCTCTGCCACTGTCACCAGGGAGTCCAGTTTCATGCCCACTGCAGAGCTGGAACGCCTGATTCATTTGTCCAGCCTCGATGCGTCCCTCGTTGATGCCCCAGCACACCACGGCGTAGAAAAGGACGCTGGCCACCACCGACTGGTAGAACATCTACAGGAAACTCCTGCAGATGTTGAACGACCGGAGCCTCCTCAGGAAGTACAGCCTGCTCTGTCCCCTCTTGTACAGGTAGTCCGTGTTGCATGTCCAGACCAACTTGTTGTCCAGCCACAGCCCAAGGTACTTGTAGCTTTGTACAAGTTCTACCTCATGTGCCTCAATCAGAACTGGTCGTGGGCATGGTCCAGATCTCCTGAAGTGTATGACCAGTTCCTTTGTCTTTGAGGCGTTGAGCTGCAGGTGGTTTTCTTTGCACCAGACAACAAAGTCGTCCACCAGACTCCTGTTCTCACTCTCTCTGTCATCCTGGATACACCCCATGATGGTTGTGTCATCTGCATACTTCTGTATGTGGCACAGCTCCGAGTTGTAACAGAAGTCCGAGGTGTACAGGGTGAAGAGGAGAGAGGCCAGCACTGTCCCCTGAGGGGCCCCTGTACTGCTGACCACAGTGTCAGATGTGGTGTCNCTACTATTTTTCTCACCAGCCGCCACTGCTTACCAGGTAGAAATGTTTCAGAACCAGTTCTCACATGTAAACATGACCCGGCCGAGAGGCGCCAGCAGGAACAAACACATGTAAAGTACAGACACAGATCGACACATAAACACAACACAGAACAAAAGTAAAGGTGTAGGAAGCACGGGGGCACATGCATGTGAGTGAGAAGAGATGTAGGACAGTGTGTGTGTGTGTGTCAGTAAAGTCCGACATGATCAGCAGCAGCAACAGTCGACTTCAGTCTGTTGGACTTTAAGCTTGACGGTGGTGAGTGGAGTCAGAGCTGGAAGTCTGAGGGTGCAAAGCGAAAGGAGTCACGGCCAAAAATAGTGAAAGTACTGGGATGATGAGCCTGATGTGTTCACTGGACCCAGTATGATGAGAGTTATGGGCGACGTGAGGTAGAAATGTCTGCTCTATTTCTCCAATAAAAAACTAAATAAAAACAACTGCCACTTTGCCTCAAACAAACAAACAACAAACATCGGTGCTCGCTTTGTAAACACTGGTTCTGTCCAAGTAGAACTGGTCACATTTCCACAGCCAGGGTTCAGAAGGGAGCGTGATAACGGCTGGGTCCAGTCCAGAACACCAGGCGTCTACACCAGGGGGGTCCAGTCCTGGTCCTGGAGGGCCACAGTCCTGCATGTTCTAGATGTTTCCAACCCACCTGATCCAATGATCGGCTCATCATCAGCTCTGCAGAAACCTGCTAACCATCCTGATCATTTGGATCAGGTGTCTGGGAAGAGGGAAACATCTACAACATACAGGACTGTGGCCCTCCAGGACCAGGACTGCCCACCCCTGGTCTACACTAATCCACTTAACACTTGAGTGATAACTGCCATCTGCTTTGGAGCAGTCCCAGGAAACAGCTGGATACTAACAGAGTCACGTTTACACATAGAGGAAAGCCTCCCGAAGGTTTCAGCAGTTGTTCACCACCTGAGTTCGACTGCATTCTTCATCTCTGACACAGTTTAAAGGGGAATCTGCCTCTTGTCCGTTGGGCTGCTGTGGTTTAATTTGACCACCAGGTGGCGCTGCAGTGCCACGGCAGACAGCAGAGAGACTCTCACATGAAGGCCTGAACATGAAGAATTCATGAAGCAGTTTGTTTTGAGGCCTTTTTGAACTCTGGCCACAAGCAGAGGAAGGACATGTACATGTTCATGTCACAGGTCTCAGTCAGTGTGGACCAGGTTCAGGTCACTAAGGAACTGTTCTGGATCATTTTGGACACGGTTTGAGTCATTGGTGACAAAGTCTTAGGACTCTGGGGCAGGGCTTTGTCCTGTTGGACAGATTGTTAATGATTTATTTTGGACAATTATCGAGTCATTTTGGACTGACTGTGTTTTTGCCACACTTTGAGTGCTTTTCGACAAGTTTCTGTCTTTCTGGATGAATTTTGACTAATTTTTGACAAGTCTGAAGTTGTTTTGGATTAAATTTCTCATAATGTAGGACAAGCTTCAAGTCATTGAGTAAAATTTCAGGTCCTCAAGGACAACGTTTGAGTCACTTTGGACAAGTTCCACATCATTTAGGAACGATTCATGTCGTGGACAAGCACTGGGGCATTTTGGACATACTTGTGGGCAGGTTTCAATTCATTTTAGGCACACTTTAGGTCATCTTTGACAAATTCTTAGTACTCTTGATAGTTTTTGTCATGAGTTTTGAATAATTTTGGACAAGCTTCAAGTCATTTTGTGGAAGTTTGAGGCCATTTTGAAGCAGTTATGAATCATTTCGGACACTCTGGTGTTTTTGAGAACTTTTGAGATTTTTTAACCATTATTTTGAACAAGTATTAAATCGTTTCAGACAGATTTGGACTTCAACAAAAACAAAGAAACTTTAAAGGACTGCAGATTGAAACTGACAACAGCCTTAAACGTGCTGGACGCCGTTTGGCTGGCGGGTTGGGAGCTTCCTGGTGTCGTGGTGAATGCGTGAGAGCAGCGGTGTTGTTTTACTGCCCTGCTTCCATGGAAAACCGCCGCTGAATGCAACACACCCACAAACACTGTCAGCGGAGAGATAAGAGCGGAGACGGAGGAGGATGAACTCAGAAGGACACGCGGAGTTGAAGCTGCGACGACATGAACGGTGAGTGACACCTTTAGCTCAGCTTGAGATCAGTGTTTGGTTAGAGTCCTGAAGCCTGGCATGGGGCCGAGCACAGGCCTGCACACGGGACCGTTGTGTTGCTGTCGTTGTTGTAATCTCTGGATTCAGGGTTTGTGTGCGACACAAAGGGCCTGAAAGAAAAACTTTAACTTTTTCACAGGTAAAGTTAAATATAGCTATGAGAACACACAACATGAGCACAGACAGACATTTAACAACAAAAAATAGACACAGAATTACCAAAAGCACACTAAATGACCCAACAGAGACACAAATTAACCACAAACAGACACAGACAGACTCGTGATGGGCAGTTGGGCTCGTAACTTATTCTCACTTGTCTGCTCGTACTGGAGCCCGACTTGGCAGACATGAACGCTGTCCTTTAGAATCAGTGTTTTCATGAGAAGCCTGATGACGCCTCGTTCTGTGTGTTCTACGTTACAACAGCAGGCATTCTGACTTTAGTTTCATGTTCTAATCAAACTTTCAATCTTAATTTAACATGAAAACAAACACAAAACAAAACACTGCAAACACACCCACAGAACAGAACCAGAACAGAACTCAGGTCAAACACCAAACAGTGTGTCCTTAGTGCAGGTTTGCATTCAAGCAGCTGAATGTGTGAGCGTGGCCGGGCTGGTGGTGTCTGCTCTGGGTTCTGATCTGCCTGTTTGGGAGACTCCCTCCATCACCTCCACCAGGTGGAGCAGACTGAGGCCTCGGCCGGCCACCAGCTCAGTGGCTCTTCTGCTCTCTGGATGAGGAGCTCCTCAGATAGCGTCACATCTCCATGATAGCACCAGTTGTGGCACTAAACCCTCACGTGATTGGCCACAAGGCCGCCGTGCTGCCGATCAAAGCAAAGTTCTGCCGTGAGCTGAGCTGAGCCACTGAGCAGCGGAGAAAAAAAACAAGTCGGGCGT